GGGGGGCGCGAACGGGTGGGAAGGGGAGCGACCCCACGGCGAAAATACCCACGCGGTGATGAACCTCGGCGAGGTGGGGAGGATCCCGGCGAATCCGAAGCTGAACTCCGCGCGGAGCTCCGCCTCCGCCTCGCTGCGGTCGATTCGCTCGTCGAGGCATGTCTATCGCCCCCTCGGCGCCCCGCAGCCGTCGTTGAAGGAAATTTTGCCGGAAATGCCGTCGAACTGCGTCCTCTCGCGGGATCGGCTCTACGTCCCGACCGATTCGAAAAAACGCCTCGGCAAAGGTGCCTATGGAGAGGTGATGCGGGGGAAACTTTACCCACCGGGGTTTAGCGCGCCGAAGGTGCCGCCGTCGATTGAGAATCTCCTCCTTTTTTCCTCCACGACGGATCCCCCAAAAGCCGGGGGGGCGAGTCGGCGAACCATCACCCCAGGAGGGACCGTACCATCCGTGGAGATGATGAGTACCACCCTCGAACTCCCGGCACCCTCGCAGGATTTAAAAGAGTTTCCCCTTCCCACGCGTTCACTTCATCAACACCCCTACGGGGAGGCCACCGCGCTGTTTTACAACGGCGAGACCAGCCTTCAAACCGAGGAATTAGCCGAGGTTTGTCAATTTTACTGCCTCGATGACGATCTTTTCGACACCCCCCCGCAATTGACGCCGGATTTGACGGGCGGAGGGGGGGCATTCGACCCCGAATTTCGACAACCCACGACCCCCACTCTGGCAAATCCGTTTGGGAGGCGAAAATCCCACGCGGCGGGGCCGCGGTGGGTGTCATTTGGGCGGAATTTCCCCCCAACGCCCTCGCGGGAGTGGAACTCGTCGAAACCCCCGACGGATGAGCTTCGCGATATGAGCAATTCCTCAATCTGCTCGAGCACCGACGGCGGGAATCCCATTCCACAGGACGGAGGCGAAGGCGCGGGGGAAGGGGAAGGGGGCGAGTTATTTTCCACCATCCCGCCCCTCGGGATCTCGAAACGGATCTCCTCGGACGAAATGGACTTCGACGAGGCCGGCAAGGAATCCTTCCGCCACGACGACGAC